CTACCTGTCAATTGGAGAGCACCCAGAGTTCAGCCCACAGTCCCACCTTTTCCTCTGATATACACCCATGACCCAGGTACCCTTCTTCACGTCTAAAACTTTAAGTATCATCTTATATATTCAAGCTATTCTATCTCATTTCCTAATTTGTAGTGCATTTTGTAGCTGCCTTATATATTCTCTAAAAACAGTGATCCTCACCATCTTGTTCTTTTCTACCCTTTTAAAGTCTCTCTCTCTTACACACACCCACACAATAAAGTATCTGATACAATGTTCTGTGCATGGTGAGCCATGATTAAACACTGTAGATTCCATCTCTAATTTTGCTCAAGCACAGAAAATATGTATAGATTCACTATTAGGTAGAAGCAGGATTTACAGCGACCCACACTTAAGCAACAGGTCAGTCAGTCAGTTCAGTCACTCACAAAGAGTACCACCAGCTAATTACTGAATGTTAAAGCCAGGGCTCATAATCTATTGTCATCCCCTTAGAATGCATCAAATCCCCAATTCTTCTACTGAGGCTGAGACCATAAGCCTGGAGCGGTTCCTTCACTAAGCATTTTCAATGAGGCAAAGGTAAAACACGTAGTTCTTTCCATTGGACGTTTCTTATGTGTTGAGGCTGGTCACAGGGAAATCCCTGTTTCAACCAAATATCAAACAAATCATAATTAAACTAGAGCCACAATTTCAGTGCAGAAGGAACAGAGAAATTGCACATGAATCTGGGCTATTATCTGAGGAAAGCCTACCTTTTCTCTTACAAGTTATGTTTTTGTTACTTTTTAAAAAATTATTTATGTATTTATTTAGCTGCGTTGGGTGTTAGTTACGGCACTTGAGATCTTCGCTGCAGCATGTGGGAGCTTTCCTTACAGGGCACAGGATCTTTGGTTGTGAGGCATAGGCACTTCCAGGCAGCACGTGGTCTTCTCTAGTTGCCGTGCTCAGGCTCAGCAGGCGCAGCAGGCAGACTTAGTTGCTCCATGGCATGTGGGATCTTAGTTCCCGGACCAGGGATCAATGCATCTCTTGCATTGGAAGGCAGACTCTTAACCACTGGATCACCAGGAAGTTAGACCAGAATCCATGGTTTCTGAGGATACTTCACCAAATAATACAGTTAACATAAATGTGGAGCAGCCTCATTTTAAACCAGTATCAGGACACATCACATGCTATGGAGTTTCAGGCCTGCCCTAACAACTCTGTGTAACCTGTCTGATGGTGGAGGCCAAGCTCAGCTCTTTAGCCACACTGACTTCACACCAAGGGAAGGAAAAACAAAAATGACTCTACAGGCTGCTCAGGGTCACTGGTAGAAACTAAATTATACTATCCTGGTCAACCAACTGCCATCTTTAGCCAGGATTCCATGATGGTTTATAAATTTACTATTTCACAATTTCTTAGGAGACTTTTTCAAGGGCATTCAGGACCTTCGAAAATTCACCTCCACTAGGTTTATGACATCTCAAGGAATTTGCCTGCACCAAGCTGCTTCTGAACAAACAGAAATGAAATCAGCCTTTTGAATTTTAAATCAGAAAACAAAGATTTCTCTTTGAAAAGAATTTCAGAGTTGACCAGTTACAAACAACATACAGTCAAATTTTATAAGAGGGAAAAATTGTAGTAACAGATATTGAAGGATACACTACTCCAAAGAAGAGGAAACATGAGAAACAAGTCATGACAATATTTTTATTGTTTACTGAAAAATACAGGTCTGGAAAGAGTCTATTGCATTGTGCGCTGAACGTAAGGGTCTGATACTGCAAGTATCCATGACATAACAGTATAACTTATATAAAATGATACATATTGTACATAGAGACAGTGCCCAGCCCTCTAAACACTAAAATTTAATGGGATGAAGCAAAGTCTTTTATTAAATGAGAAATGTAAACACTGCAATCATATACAAAGTGCTCTAAGAGAAGAACTCTGAAACTGTGTTGTTGTGACGTCTGTCTACCTGGAGTTAGGAATGGTTGGGCCTTAGGAAAACTAAGTCAACAAAAAGCTGACACTCTCAAGAAGGTCTTCCCAGGGAGCCAGCTGCTGACACCTGAGACAGGCTGCCATCCCGGCTTCTCTAGAGCCCTCAGGCCCACTCTGACCATTAATCCATGTCTTAGGGCTAGTGTGAGGCCAGCGGGAAGAGGATCAGGTAAGAAGACACTTCTGTCGTGACTGCTTGTCCTACACCAACTCTATGCAATAAGAACACCTAGCATTTTTGACCCGTAACTGCCACTCCCAGCAAAAAATGAAATGTGCTTGAGAAGAAAAACATTAATGCTGGGAACAAAAGCCATCTTCTATACAATCTGCAGATACTATTCATTCCTTTCAGCCATATTTTCACTAAGCTCGCAAAGAGGTTGCTACTACTCTCTTGCCAGTCACACAGGCCACAATCAAGGATAACAAAATGTCTCCAGCTACAACCACTAACTCAAATGAGTTAAAAAAAAATTTATTAGAGAACCATAATCGATCTCAATGATTCACACGGCAACAGAGTCAAGCGCTGCAACAACATTCACATTCCACGGTCAACTTTAACTACAGCCTCACTTCCCTCCAAACTGAGAAAGCCCCGTGTGGAGGAGAACATATAAGATTTCCACCATCACCTCCTCCCCAAACACTATTAGGGCTCAGAAAGTTCCTTAGAGGTAACAAATGCAAAAAAAGAGAAAGGATAAAAAGAAAGCACACCTCAATATAGACACACAACAGAAGAAGACTACTCTCCCTCTGGGCTTCCTTGGCATCAGGCAAAGCAAGGCTATTTGCAATAACAGTGCCTAAGCTGACTATGGCAACACTCACAAGAGAAATAAGGAGTTACAAAGTTCCTTTATTCATAGGTAATCACGGATTACTAAATAATTTCCTGAATTAAAATGACAGTCTCACCATCAAAGAAAATTTTCTTCCTGCCTGAGATGCTTTTATAAATGAGATTTCACAATATCCCAGAGTCTTAATATTGAACTATTAATGCACAGAAGACATCCTCAGAGTTCAAGTATGAGTAATATCAATATTCTCAGATTTCTACACTTTAAAGATCAGCAAATATTTTACCAGATTATCCATTCAAGAGACTTGTAAGTCAACTGTTATAACCAAGTGTATATTTTTCTTATCCTGTTCATCAAAGAACACCATCCTCCGATAGGAATGAAGCCCAGCTCAATGGGTATATAATTCCCTTCAACTCTGCACAGCACATTTCACTATTCAGTCTATGTCCTTGACTCTTCTATAACTCACCTAGTCTAAAGAATGTATAAAGGTGGAAAATTGCAAACCCCAGCAAAAACATTGGTGTCAGTGCTGAAATAAACTTTAGGGGAATAACTACAATTGCTTACAGAACCATTTATAGTCTTGCCAGAAACCCTACTGCTCCTGAATCCCCAGACTGAAAAATTCAAATAATTTAAACATGAGAGGGGATTTCACTGATAAAGGTCTAGTTCACGTGTAAGGTTCTGGTTCTTAGAATGATGTGTGACTAACCCAAAATAGTGGCTCCATTTCCATTTTAAACATATCTGTTAAATTCTTGTCAAATTCTCCCATCTGTCACCTCACTGGTGAACCCTCTCATTTGCTGCTTCTATTTCTTTTGGCTGTTCTACTGCACATATGGGATTCACCGAGGTTCTCACTTTAATGCGTATGGAATTTCCATTTCATACCAACAGCTCCCTAAAAGTCATCAACAGGGAACAATTTCTAGCTTAGTAAAGGCACAATTCCTCTTTACAGAGGAAACCAAAAAAGAGTCATTTGGAAGCTGAACAAACATCTTAGATACTCCTATAAAAGGGAATGTTCTATCTGCCAACAAAACCCAGAGACATTTACAAGATCTAAAGATTACATGGACTATGTGAAAAGCATGAATCTGGCAAATTTAAGACATATTCCTAATGTTCCACTACACTACTTGGGGGGAATGTGCTAGTTAATATCACAGGAGCAAATGACAAGCGTCAACACCGCTCTACTGGCCTGTTCTCCTCCTGCTTTTAGTAAACTGCTGCCAGCTCCAGTGAAGCCTGTCCCAGGGTACATCACTCAGCAACTTGCAGAGCTGCTCAGAGATAGGACAACTGGCTTCAGGTCAACTAGTCCAGCAGTGAGCACTCAGCTGGTAAACACTACCCCGGGGCAGAGCCCATGAAGAGCCTTTAGCCCAGGACTTACGAAAGTTGCATAAAAATTCTTGGTTTTATATCATCTTCCCAGCAAGTTGGAAAACAATTGGGTTTTAGTTAAAGAAATGGAACCTATGCTCAAAAACAATGTAATGCTTCAAAAAAGCAAAATCGAGATTGGAAAGAGAGTAGAGAAAAATACAGTCTATTCGTCAATAGCTTACTTTGGCTAAATGATCATAGTGTCAGTGCAATGTATTATTGTAGTTTGAAGCACAGCCTCCCATGTTCTCATAAAATAGGGTACCAGTGAAGTACATGAAAACAGTTCACAGAGATGATAGCCCTTTAGCCTTCTGTGACTTCAGAACTTGAAAGACACAGGCTAACCAGGATTTATATTCAGATACTCGCTCAGTGCAGGCTGAGTTAAGAGACAGCAAAACATCTGATTTTTATTCACCTACAGTGTGCTCAGAAGTTCCTATTTGGGCAGCGATGGTTCTCAACCAGGCTGCACATCGGTGTCATCTAGGAAGCTTTAAAGAATTACCAAGTGCCCAGACCAATTAAATCTGGAGATGGAGTCCAGAGATGAGCATTCTTTGTTTCCCCAGGAAGTTCTAACATGCACAGGCTGCACACAGCAGATGTATCCCTTTCAGAAGGCTGGTGCATGAAAGCCAAATTGTGTCTAGATAGTTTGGTTTCTTCTAAATTTCACCAGGAAAAGGGATGTTTAGAAAAAGGCACAGTTGTGCTTCCTCTAATGAGGCAGCTTACTGTTTGAGAAGTGCTGGTTCTTGGAGGTTATCTGGCACGCTGGTTGAAGAGGAGGAAGTCCTTGTCTTGGCAGAGCAGGCAGAGTTTCAGGCTTCGGCAGCTGCCTCCAGAAACAAAGAAGGCCCAGACACCTGTGAGCACCATGATGATATATACCAACACCAGATTTAATCCATAATGAGGACTGATGAAGGTCTGCAGAGGGAAAACAAAAGGAACCTTATTAAGTATGTGGAATAACCTAAGACAATGGAAAATATGAAATACTTTCAATAGTGGAGGTGTATTTCACCAAACATCTGATGTATGTCATGGGCCCACAGACAACACAGGAATTATGGTCAACAGACATTAGCTCATAAACCTGTGCTTTGCTGTATTCAAAGGGCAACCCTAGAAGGTAATCAGAAGCCAGACCTAATGAAATACCCAATAGAAGATAAGTTGTTATATAACCAGGGTCTAGTTTATAATCATTTTTGAGTTAACTGGCTCTGAGAATTAAGAAAGTGAGACAAGTCTATGTTGAAAGTGAAAGTGTTAGTTGCTCAGTTGTGTCTGGCTCTTTGTGACCCCATGGACTGCAGCCTGCCAGGCTCCTCTGTCCATGGAATTTTCCAGACAAGAATACTGGAGTGGGCTGTCATCCCTTCTCCAGGGATCTTCCTGACCCAGGGATTGAACCTGGGTCTCCTGCACTGCAGGTGGATTCTTTACCATCTGAGCCACCCTCAGTAATCAAGGGAATAAGAGGGAACAGCATCTCTTTTTCAGCTGCACAACTGCTGAGGGTTCCAAAAGTTCATTTAAAAACCACTGGTGAGGTACCATGAGGTACTAGTGAAGACCACAGTGCTTATCCTAATGGAGCTTACAGCAGTAAGGGAGACAGGCAATGAATGAAGAAACAAGTAACTAATCACAGGGACATCCTTGGTGGTCCAGTGGTTAAAAATATGTCTTCTAATGCAGAGGACATGGGTTCGATCACTGATCAGGGAACTAAGATCTCACATGAGAGGGGACAACTAAGCCCACTCACCACAACTAGAGCGCCTGCACACTGCAATGAAGACCCAGTGCAGCCAACGTAATAAATAATACAAAAATAAATAATGACACATTGTGATAAATGCTAGGACAGAATAACTACAACTGAGATGGTGCTAGTAGAGGTTGAGAACAGTGATCTACTGAGGGTGGACAAAGAAAGCACTGAGCAAACGGCATTTAATCTGACACAAGAGGAGGCATGAGCCAGCCTGGTTTAGACGAGGGAGGGAGCCCAGAAAAGGCAAAGAGCTTGGCGCAGCTGAGGACCTGAGAATTGCTGTAAAAGATGTGTAAGGATGGAGGGCAAGCACTGAGATAGGAGAGGAAGGCAGGCGCCAGATAGGCATGTTGGTGCTAAGTGTGGGTTTTATCCTCAGAACAATGAAGGGGTGCGGAAGGCTTTTAGGTCAGGGAGCTGAACGATTTTAGATTTTTAAACTGCAGAGAACGGATTCAAGGAGGCTATGGTGAAAGCAGGGAGAATAGTTAAGAAGACTCCTCACTGAATGAGTAGAGTACAGGATGGTGGCTTAGTCCAGGGTGGTGGTGGTAGAGATGGAGAGAGTAGATGATAGGAAGTGACAGGACTCGACTTGCTGGTGGATGGAATGTGAGAAACAGAGAGCCCAGGAGTGACTTCCGTGGTTCTGGCTTTAAGGAAATGGTGATGCTTATTTAATGAGCTAGGCAAGACTTGAGGAAGACCAAGCTTAAAAAACTTGGGGAAAGACTAAGCTAGGAGTGATAGGTGGGAACCAAGTCCAAAGAGGACATGCTAAGAGTCGGATGGCTCTGAGATTTCAAAAGGCAGGTGCCAGGGGACTTCCCTGGTGGTCCAATGGTTAAGAGTCCATGCTTCCAATGCAAAGGCACAGGTTCAATCCCTGGTTGGGGAACTAAGATCCCAAATGCTGTGATGCATGGTCAAAAAAAAAACAAAAACAAACAGGTGTCAGGTAAGCCGTTAGGTTTATGAGTGAGGCTCTGAGGAGAGGCCTGGGCTAGAAAGAGAAATACAGCACAGTCCATAAATGGTCTTAAAGTCACGGCTATGAATACGATTACCCACAGAGCTACTGTAGAGAGAAGGGAAAAGCGAAGTCAGGCTCCAGTCCTGAGAACAGTTATAAAGTATTTGTTCTGTTTAATATTGTAGAAGCAAATTAAAAGCACCAACACCACCCTACTGGTTTGACTCATACTGAAAAAGAGTTAGCAAAGGCATCTGAGAAGAGCAAGCAGTGAGGTGAGAGGGAAGCAGGACAGTGTGATGCAGAAGTCAAAAGAGGAAATGTTTCAGAGAGGGGGCGGTCAACTCCTCCTAAAGGTTGCTGAGATAGAAAAAAAAAAAAACCCAGCATCCTTTAGATATGGAGTGATGGAGGTCCTTTTTGATCTTGAAACATGCAGTCTTAGGAAAGTGGTTGGATAGAAGGCAGAATGCACTAGAAACACGACAGAAATTTCGCTGTCATGCAGACTAGGAAAAAAAAAGTCATGGCTAGAACGAGAACCGGCAATAATGAAGAGTCTTATTTATGATATGTCTAGGGACTTTACTGGTGGTTCCCAGTGGCTAAGACTCTGCACTCCCAAAGCAGGGGGCTTGGCTTCGATCCCTGGTCGGGGACCTAGATTCCACATGCTACAACCAAGACCTGGCAGCCAAATAAAACAAAAGCATGCCCAAAACCCAGATATGTCTATGTGCCGGTGAAGAGAGGGTGAGGCTGGTGATGTAGGACAGGAGGAGTAACGTAGCAAAGAATTAGGTTTGGAGCCCAAACGGAGGGAGACTGGCCTTTGATAGAAGGAATACTGTCTCTGCTCGACCAGGATAAGGTGGAGAAATGGGTTCTTTTTAAGAAAGAAGAGGCTCTGATTGGGTCAGTTCGTCACCAGACACCTCTGCCAACAAGGTTTCAGGGGGAGTGCTCCCCAGGCACCTGAGTCCTCACTCTCACCCTGCCCGCACAGTCCCCTGGGCTAAAGCAGGGGCCGCTTCCTACCAGCTCTGGCCAGGTAACAGGCTGATTTTGCAGACAGCACCTTATGCAGAAAGAGCACTTTTCTCAAGAAGCATCTGTGGGCATGGCAGGCACTCAGCATTTTCTCTTCAGATTCTCCTTCGGATTCTTCTTAAGAATAATTCTATCCCTCAAATCTGCTGAGTTTTAACATACTTCGTAGGGTGCTAAGCTACTTTCCATCTCTTTTTTAGTTTGTTTCTTTAATAACATTATCTCTTTTAAACAATTACAGAAACAATACGTGATTATTGTAGAAAATTAAAATGTACAAATGAATAAAATAAATCTTAAAACTTGAAATTCAGATAGGCTAATTTTTACACAACATTCAACATTAAGAGAATGTAAAGACAAACCACACTGTAGGAGAAGTTATTTATAATACATATATCTAATAATGGAGAAGGAAATGGCAACCCACTCCACTATTCTTGCCTGGAGAATCCCATGGACAGAGGAGCCTGGCAGGCTACAGTCCATGGGGTTACGAAGAGTTGGACACGACTGAAGTGACTAGGCAGGCATATCTAATAAAAGCCTCTTTTAGAGAATACCAAAAAAGAACCTAAAAAAAAAACAGACAGACAACCCAGTAGAATGATGGATAAAAGATGTGAACAGGCACATCACAAGAGAATTATCCAAATGTCTGATAAACATAGGAAGACACGCTCAACTTCATTCACCATCAGGAAAATGAAAATGAAAACCAAAATGTGACACCACTACACAACCAGTGCTAGATAAGGGTAACAATAAAGAAGTGCAATACTAACTAAGTGTTGGTGAAGAGGTGGAGAAAATACAACTCATAAATTAATGGTGGGAGTATAAGTTAATACAACCTCTCTGAAAAAGTGAGTGTTAGGAACAATTGACATATGTATACCCCATGACAAGGAATTCTACCCCAGGTATATATCCAAAAGAAATGTGCAGACTTTTTTACCAAGAGATATACGCTAGAATGTTCAAAGCAGTACTCTTTACAATGGTTAAAACCTGGAGATAGCATAAATGCCTCTCTGTTGTGGAATGGATAAATTATGGTATGGATAAATTATGGTATAGTTATACCATAGAACACTATTCTGCAAAGAAAAAGCAATCTATAGCTATAAACAAATTAATTTCCCAAAGACTGAGTGAAAGGAGTCAGACACAAGAGCAAACACTGCACTGTTCTGTTTAAATAAATACCACAAGGCAGGGCAAGCTATCAAGTCAGAAGTCAGGACCGTGGTTATCCCTGGAGGGGTCAGGGGGGAGGCAGTGAAGTAGCACCAGGAAGCTCATGCGAGCAGATGTTTTAGCTTTCATTTGGGTTCAAGTGACATTGGTGTGTTCACACTGGGAAAATTCATCAAGATGCACACACTGGACCTTGGTGGTCTAGTGGTTAAGACTCTGCACTTCCAATGCAGGGGGCGTGGGTTTGATCCGTGGTTGGGGAAATAAATAAGATCCCACATGCTGCTCAGTGAAGCCAAAAGATTAGGAAAAAAAAAAGATGTACGCTTCTGATTTATATACTTTACTGTACATGTGCTATATTCATAAAACTTAAACGTTATCTGAAATCTGTCATTCAGAGACAACTATTGTTAACATTTTGGTATGTAATCTTTCAAATTTCCTGGGTTCTTTTCAATCATTAGAGAGAATAATATAAACTCTTCAATATTCAACAATAGTTACTGGCCAGAGTGTGCCAGGGTTTCAGGATACAAAGATTGACAAGATAAGATCCCATCCTTGATGATCAAACCCTAATTGGAGAAGTAGAGGTAAAGCTGTATCAAATAAAATAATGCTGGCCAGGGGGAAGGGTTATAACACAGCTATAAAAAAAAGGGCTAGGATAGTGCTTTCAGAAATGTGCACCTTTTCCAGGAAGGCGCACATGAAAATGAACAGTTTTCCAAACTGACCTAGGTTAGGGGCGAGACCCATCACTGCAGATATACCAGCATGAACAACCTGAGAGCCACACTGGGTCAGTTTAGATAGAGTGTATGATATGAATCATGGGGAGCAGCAAGAGGTAAGTTTAGCACCAGTAAGATTCAGTAAGAGGCTTATGTCAAACAAAGAAGTATGGGTTTTATCCCCCTGGCCTCTGCTACAACTCATCACTCTCCTGTCCTTAATCCACTTAGCTGCAGGACACCTGACTCCTGGCTCTCTTCCTATGTCACCAAGTTGCTCCTTCCCAGTCTCCATGGCTTGCTTCAGCTCTTGCCCCAACCTCAAGGTTGGAATGCCCCAGGGCTTAGTCCTCTGGCCTCTTCTCTTGTCTGCTTAGGTTCACTCTCTGCAATGACCTTTTTAAGCTTGGCTCTCTCTCCCGAACTCCACACTTTTTCATCCAAATACCCAACTGACCTCTCCACTTGGATATCCAACAGGCACCTCCAGGGTACCAGGCCCAAAGAGGACTCCTGCTCTCCCTCACCAGCTTCTCCATCCCAGCTGATGGCAACGCCATCCTTTGAGTTGCCCAGGCTCAAAATCTGGAAGATGTCCTTGGCTCCTCTTTCTCCCCCTTGCCTTATCCAGTCTGTCAGGAAGCAGCTGGTAGCTCTACTACCAGAAACATGCCCTGAATCTGAACATTTCTCACCGTCTCCACTGCTGTCTCACTCAAGTTGTCCCCATCCTTCTCTTAATTTCTTCCCCTGTTACAGTCTACTGTGAAAACAGCAGTCAAAGTGAGCCTTTTAAAATGTGATTCAAATCAAGTCCCTGTATTCAACACCCTACAATGAATCCATTTCACTAAGGGTAAAAGCCCAAGCCTTGTATTATCTAGATATGGTTCCCATTTCCAACCTATACTTCCATTCCCAATTTCAAATCTGTGACAGTATCTCCTACTAACTTCCCCCGGCTCATGGTTCTGGCCACTCTGGCTTCCACAAACATGCCAAACATGTTCTTTAGTCTTAGGACTTTGCCACTAGCTGTTCAGTCTGTCATGTTCCTTCTCCAGACAGCCACATCACCAACTTCACTTCTTTGCTTAAATGTACCTTCAAAATGAAGCCTACTTTTAACTACCTAGTTTGAAAATTCAACATCCTCAGCCCCTACAGTCTAGAATCTTTTTTTAAAAAAATTATTTATTTTGGCTGTACTGGGTCTTAGTCGTATCATGTGAGACCTAGTTCCCTGCCCAGGAATCGAACCCAGGTCCCCTACATTGGGAGCATAGAGTCTTCCCCACTGGATCACCAGGGAAGTTCCTTGAACCCTTTGAACCCACTCTACTTTCCCTTTTTTCCCAAAGCACCAACCGATTTCTAACATATTTCATTTTATTATGTCTATTGCTATTGCTTATTGTCCCTCTCTTTCCACTGGATGGTAAAGGCAGAGTCTTGTTTTTTTTTCTGTAAATTGTTTTGCTCACCTAGAACAGTGCCTGGAACACAGAAGGCACTCACTATTTGTCGAATGAATGAATGGTGGACTGGATCCATAAGAAGGACATTGGCTTTTTCTTGCAATTTCCTTTCTTAAAGTATACACACAGTAGAAACTTTGGAACATGCTGAAAACCATAAAGAATAAAAGAACCCATCCAGAGATGAAAACTGTCAGTACTTTAGTGCATTCTCTCTTCAATTATTTTTCCATGAAGATTTGACTTTACATAGCTGCCATCATCGGAGAAAGAAATGGCAACCCACTCCAGTATTCTTGCCTGGAGAACCCCAGGGATGGAGGGGCCTGGTGGGCTGCTGTCTGTGGCGTCACACAGAGTAGGACATGACTGAAGTGACTTAGCAGCAGCAGCAGCTGCTATGATATTAAGGGTAACTTTAGTATCATATTAAGGGTAACTTTAGCATGATGGAAACGTTTTAGGTAGGGAAGGCAAGAAGATTGTTCTTTAGATGGGTGAGAGAGCAGAGTCCAGTGTGAGAAAACTTGATATGAACTCTAAATGGATGGAGAGGAGAGAAACATGAAGCAGGACACCATTAGAAGGAACTTTTCAATACTTTAGGTGAGAAATGATGAAGGTCTAGATGAAGCAATGGCTGGGATCATTCTGATGTAAGTATATGACAAGTTATGATTAAAGTCGGGCCGAAGCATTAAATAGTGCTTTAAAAATACACCTATCCTTTTCAACTTTCTTTGGAAAACTAGCATTTTAATACCAGTGAAGAGGGAGTAAGATGGGTACTCTTTGGGAGGGGGTTTCACATTTTTTTGGCCATGTGGCATGTGGGTAGGATCTTAGTTCCCTAACCAGGGATCAAACCTGAGCCCCCTGCATTGGAAACTTGGGAGTCTTAACCACTGGACGGCCAGGGACGTCCCAGGCACTCTTTACATTAATCAGAATGAGTAACAATAGTACAGCCCTTTTGGAGAGAATTTTAGCAATTTGCATCAAGGGCTTTAATATCTTTTTTTTTTCATCAAGGGCTTTAATATCTTAAAATATTTAAAAATATTCCACTTGACTTCATAACTCCATTCCTTAGAATCTGAACAATGTATTGAAAAAGTTTCATATACAATGATGTTCAAAACAGCTTTCTAATAACCAAAAGTAGAAAAACAAACGATCAATTAGTTAAGCAAACTATAATTTTATGTAAAGATATAAAAAGCTATTAAAATGTAAATATTAAAAGGATCCATAATAATGTAGAAATTGCTTAAAATGTGTTCCATAACATAAACATAATGCAAGACTATTTCAGGTTTGACCAACTTAATTAAAAGAAAGACACTTAACAAAAAGAAATAGCTTACGAGATCAACCAACAAATTAAGTTATCTTTCTATAGTAAGACTTGGATGATTTATCTATCATTCATTCATTCTTTTAAATGACTTTTTCTGAATTTCCTCATTATCCCAAGAGAGTGTATTTCACTTAGAGTGGAATCTATCACTTCAGATGTGTGGACTTAAGCTCCAAAACCCAGTTTGAGCAACATAGCAATACTCACCAGGGCTGACACCAGCAGATGGGAGAGAACAACTACAAGAAGGGTGTACCACTTCTTCTTCGCACAGCCATCAAAAAACACGATGCCCCAGAACACGTGCAGCAGTGTGATCACCAGTGTCATGAAAGCTGGAAGACAGCCAACCATTAGTGCCCAGTCGCGAATCAGCAGACCCCAAAGGCCACTGAACACGTCCTTGGAGGCAGGCTCTTGGGGTGCACTGCACCACTGTGAGGGTTCACCCACAACTGACAGAGGACCCTGACACAACATTTGCTTGAACAGTAATTCTGAAAGCAACATTTCTGAACCAGGGGTCAGCTCTGCAGCAGCCTCTCACCTAGACTGTGAACCAGTGAAACAAAAAGTCAACCTGGATCTGGCTTTCAAGGAGTTTCTCTTAGGAACAAAATAAAATTACTCTGATATATAATCAGTTTTTCCAAGTTGGCTTTCTGCACTAATCAAGAAACTTTTTTTTTGGCCACACAGCAAGGTATATAGGATCTTAGTTCCCTGACCAGGGATTGAATCCATGCCCCTGCATTGGAAGCTCAGAGGGAGTCTGTACAATGGACAGCCAGTGAGGTCCCCAAGAAACTTTTCTAAACTAAAACGAGTGTCTTTGATTTAAACAAGTCTTCTCATTAAAGTGGAATTTCTCCTTGGATCTTTTTTTAAGGCCAGTGGGAGAATAAAAATTAGAAATTGCAATAATTATCTAAGATTCTTCTTAAGCAATGGAAACTGAATCCAATCAGTACACACAGGTTTTTCTATGGAATACTGTGTGTGTGCATACATGCATGTGTGTGTCCTGCATCCTGGACATTTTTTACTTAAAATGAGCAAGTTTCAGGAACTCCTTGGCCATCTAGTGGTTAGGACTCTGTGCTCTCACTGTCAAGGAATGGGGTTCGATCCCTGGTTGGAGAACTAAAATTCCACAAGCCACGAGGCATGGCCAAAAAAAAAAGAGAGAGAGAGAGAAAGCAAGTTCCACATATTCTAAAAGCTTCAACATGGGGAGGGGGAAGGCACACAGATTTCTCATTTCCACCATTAACACCCATTATTCTGGCAAAAAGTCAAGTCTGACCATTCTCCTTCACACTGCTGGTAATTCTCCCTTGGCATCCGTGGAGGATAGGGTCTAGGAACCCCTACAGATACCAAGCTCTGCAGATGCTCAAGTCCCTTATATAAAATGGCATAATAACTGCATATAACCTATACATCAGCTTCCCTGGTGGCACAGATGGTAAAAAATCAGCCTGTAATGCAAGAGACCCGGGCTCAATCTGCGGGTCAAGAAGATCCCCTGGAGAAGGACATGGCAACCCACTCCAGTATTCTTGCCTGGAGAATCCCACGGACAGAGGAGCCTGGTGGACCACAACCATAAGGTCACAATGAATTGGACACGACTCAGTGACTAACGCACACACAATCTATGCACGGCACATCCTCCACCTCCACTGTTTACCTTAAATTATCTCTGGATTACCTACAATACCTAATATAATGCAAATGCTATGAAAATAGTCATAAACATAGTGTAAACTCTATGTAAATAGTTACCAAGTCAGGCAAATACAAGCTTTGCTTTGGGGAATTTTCTGGAATTTCCCTTTCCTGAACATTTTTGATCTGTTGTTGGTTAAATATGAATGCTAAATCCAAAGATATGGAGGGCTGACTCTGAAGCAATATTCTGAAACAATTAGTTAGGTGTTTTTCTTTTTTTAATTTAATTTAACTCACTTATTTGTCTGCAATGAGTCTTAGTGTGGCATGCAGGATCTAGTTCCCTGACCAGGAATAGAACCTGGGCCCCCTGCATTGGGAGCGGTGATTCTTAGCCACTGGACCACCAGGGAAGTCCCAGCAGTTAGTTTTTGAATCAACAGACCACTAGCCTTTGAGCATTTGTAATAACAAAAAATGTCCATCATTACCAGAATGAATAAACTGTGGTGTATTTACACAATGGAATATTTACATGTTCTATAATATAAATGGTCTCTAGAAAATAATGTTGAGTGGGGGAAAAGCATATTGTGAGAAAATGCCCATATTTCAGTTATACAAAGGCAAAAAGCAAATTATTACAGAGACATAACTGTTGAAGTTGGAGGAAAGCAATTTGTTACATCTAGTGACAGTGTTAATAATGATAAATACTTTATAGGAGAAGGGGGATTAAAAAAAAAAAACTTTGAAACAATAGCAGACTAAATGAAAATGATTTATTTTAATCCCACTGATGATCCTTGAAAGGGCAGTTTCCCTGAAGATAGATGCTTAGTTGTGTGACAGTGTATAGAGTTCAGACAACTGAAAACACCCAGTAGTTCATGTTATGTCAGAAAAGACCAGAGTAGAAACTGATTCACAGACACAGATGTTCACACTCTAAGGCTTTTCTAAAGCCTACATGTCAATCAAGTGTCAAGAGAAAGCAATTACACCACTAATGTGTCATCTGTTCATCAGCTATGTGAAAGGAAGATCAAAATGGAGTCACTATTGTTAATAGAACTTTCTAAATAGAGCTGGGAGGCCATTAAGGAAGTGTGACCTAGGCATAGCTTAGCTGAGATGGAATCTGATATTTTTACCTGATGAAGTCATAAACCTGCCAGAAACTCAAGACACTTCTTAAACCTTTACCCTAAAATAACTCATGAGAGTCTACCCACTTAATGGACCACTATTCTAAAACAACATGTGATTCCTTAAGGACAAGTATTTTCTGACTTATATCGATCACAATTCTTACCAGGCAACTTTTAACAACCTCATAGCCTTTTGTCTTTATAAGACCCTGACTCTATCTCTTTCGTGGAACTTTCTTTCAAGACTACCCATTCTTGTAAGACTACAAATCTGGGTCTTCCAACTTGCAATTCTTAAGACTCCAAAACACTCTTCTTATTTGCAGCCTCCTTCATTACCTATTGTTCGACAGCTCTATTTGCCCTTTCCTCTATGCATTACCATGAATATTGAAACCAGCCAATCCTCCTCCTATGGTCAAGTCTTACGAGTTCAGATACTTGGAAAATGCTCTTACTTATGGACTTTTTAGTTCATTCTCATCTAAAAGAGCATTACTCTGTTTCAGACAATCATTCTCAGGGGAAATCACTAGCCTTGAACTTTCTTCCAAATTCTAGGTGGGTATTTCTGTATGAAAGGCTCTTTCCTGATAAAAATTCTCTCTGATGGACTGACTCTGTCTCTAAAGTAAAGTCCAAGCATCTCAGATTAGCATCCAAGGCCCTCTGCAACCTAGACCCAAACTACTATCCTCTACTCATCTTTAAATACATCCTACTTGGGAGGAAACCAGAACTCCTACTTATACTCTGTCTATGCCTCTATGTCTTCATTTTTTTAACTGAATGTCCCTTTTCCCTGAATCCTCTACTCCTTACCACCACCCTGCCCTTTTCACCCCATCCAAATCTTACTTTTACGCAACACCTAGCTCAACGCCATCCCCTTAATGAGTTCATCCTGATATCTACTTTTTTTTTACACTCCACACACATTTACTGAGCACCTAGAGAGTCTGACATGAGATGATGCCTATGGGCTCTAGAGAAACATAGTCCTCAGCTGGAATCCTGGTTCTAACTCCTGGTTCTAATCTAACTCCTCTGAGTTTGTTTCCTTTATTTCTAAAATGCAAATAATGCCCCTGGTTGTTGTGTAGAGAAGATCAGTGCTTTGCAAACTGCAGTTTTTCAATAAATGACAACTACGATGTGCTATGGTGTCTAGATTCAAAGATGAATATAAGCCAGGACCTTCAATTTACTGAGTTGCACTAACAGGTTAGAAAGTGAAGCAAAGCAACAAGCAATTATCACACGTATCCAAGCTTCCTGGGTACCTGACTATGTTTTCAAATGTATTCTCAGACTGTCTCGGTGGTCCAATGGTAAAGAACCTGCCTGCCAATGCAGGGGACATGTGTTTGATCCCTGGTCCAGGAAGATTCCACATGCCGTGGAGCAACTAAGTCCATGCGTGGCAGCTACTGAAGTCTGTGGACTCTAAAGCCTGCGCTCTGAAACAAAAGTTGCCACCACGACGAGAAGCCTGAGCGCCACAGGAAGAGCAGCCCCCAGTCACCCCCGTTCGCTGCAACTAGAGAAAGCCCGAACACAGCAACAGACCCAGCACAGCCAAAAATAAACAAACAAATAAAACACTTTAAATATGCACTCGTTCACCCCTGCAGATTTCTTCTTCTTCTGACACTGGATTATTACTCTTACATTTACTTTCTTTCCTCCTCTTTTATTAATCCATACAAAGATTCATTAGCACCCACTGTGGGCCAGGCTTCCCTGGTGACTCAAATGGTAAAGAATCTGCTTGCAATGCAGGAGACCTAGGTTTGATCCCTGGGCTGGGAAGACCCCCTGGAGGAAGGAATGGCAACCACTCCAGTATTCTTGCCTGGAGAATCCCATGGAGAGAGGAGACTGGAGGGCTACAGTCCACGGGGTCACAGAGAGTCAGACATGACTGAGCGATTAAGCACATGGCCGGGCAATAGGGCTATCCCAGAGAACAAAACACAGTCCCAAGGAACCTCCTTTTCAGAAAAGAAGCCCATCTTTTCAGTTTACTATGTTTTATTAACACAATACCTAAACAGGATCTCTCAGACATTTATTAAAACACTGTGTATTCCTATTTGACTGCTTATTTATTTAGCTAGCACTAGTTTCAAATCGGGAAAGGAGTACATCAAGGCTGTATATTGTCACCCTGCTTATTTAACTTATATGCAGGGTACCTCACTAGAAATGCTGGACTGGATGAAGCACAAGCTGGAATCAAGATTGCCAGGAGAAATATCAATAACCTCAGATATGCAGATGACATCACCCTTATGGCAGAAAGCGAAGAAGAACTAAAGAGCCTCTTGATCAAAGTGAAAAAGGAGAGTGAAAAAGTTGGCTTAAAGCTCAACATTCAGAAAACTAAGATTCAGAAAACCGAGAGTCCCTTGGACTGCAAGGAGATCCAACCAGTCCATCCCAAAAGGAGATCAGTCCTGGGTGTTCATTGGAAGGACTGATGTTGAAGCTGAAACTCTAATACTTTG